ACATAAGCTACATAGCTGGCGCAACCCTACTGAAAATAGCGCCTCGCCCTCGCGGCTGAACAAAAAGATGGTCCACGCTGTGGCCTCTCGCCCTGAATCACTAACTCTCCCCCACTGGGAGTGCGGACCCTCACCAGCTGTAACTCGCAATCAATCACTGCCCCGTTGGGACTCAACCAATCCATGCCCACTATAACCTTATTCCCTCGCAGGGGAATAGGGACCAAGTCCACTGAAAACTGCTCGTCGAACAAATGAAGAGAATATCCTCTATGCACCCTAGCGACCCTCACGGTCCTGTCATCTGCTATCTCGACCTCTAGTGGACAATTCAGCTCCCCTAGAGCTCTACTAAATCTCTTGTTAAGTGCTAGCGATGCAAACGATCGGGTAGCCCCCGAATCAAATAATACTGTAGCAGAAATACCGTTCACAGAGAACGACCCTATACAAAACATATAACCATAAGCTATAATCAATAATAATATAGAGATGAAGGGAAGATACATACCCATCACCACATCAGGAGTCGCTCGCGCCTCCTCTGCTGTCATCTGAAAAGCTCTACTCTTTGCCACTGGTGCCTCGTCTCGGCCCTGCCGGCCATCTGTAATCCTCAAAGTAGCAGGGGCAGGTGCAACCACCTTCCCTGCTACAATTAAACTCCGACACTGGGACTTTTTATGTCCCCTCTGATTCCACTGAAAGCAAATCAGATGTGATGCTGCAACAGCGGTAGCAGGAGCGTACAATCCTTGCTCAAACGCCCAGTCTGACCGCACTTATAGCAGCCGGAACTCCCTGCCTTGCACACCCCATCGTGCAATCTCCCACACTTGCCACATCGACTGTGGCTCTGCTGACACCTGGATCTGTGATCTGAAACCTTGGGCTTTTTTCCCGAACTACCTGTACCTGAAGACGCCTCCGGTTTCCTCTTCTTCCCCATCTCAAGGTTAATCTCCCTCTCCCGAACCCTAGCAATCATGTCATCTAGCGTTTTACAGCTGGACCGGCTCACAAACTGGCGGATATCGCTCCGCAGCATCTCATGATAATGGGCCTTCTTCATTTCCTCATTGGCTGCATACTGAGGAACGAGAAGAGCCCTCTCCCTGAATTTGGCGGTGATCTCCGCCACGCTCTCTGTAGTCTGGGTGAGGTCCTGAAACTCTCTGGCTAATTGCTGCACCTCAATAACTGGTGCAAACTCCACCCTGAACCTGGTGGAGAAATCAGCCCAAGTCATGGCATCTAGCGTTGCATCATCTCCAATGGTAAGTTCGACCTCTTCCCATCAATCCCATACCCTGTCCTTCAGTAGACAAGACGCCAATATAACCTTGTCCCCCTCGGGACACTTGCTCGTGCGGAAATTGTTGGCCACATCCACTAACCATCCAATACTCGCTATGGGATCTCGCGCCCCGTGGTAATCTGGAGCACCACATGCCCTGAACTCCCTAAACGTAAGTGTGCGCGACCCCATCTCTCATCCATCAGCTCTAGGATACCCTCCTTGATCGAACCGAAGATCACAGGAGTCTGCTCCAGTATGATACGAGTAATCTCTGAAGAAAGAAACTCTCTGGTCTGCTCATCCAACTGCCCGGCCTCTGGGCTTGCTGCTGATCCCCCTCCGGCACCTGAACTGCCGACTGCTGGCCTCGAACGCAAAACTACCATTCTGAAACAAATCATAGCAACATCAGAAAACTGTAATATCTCAAGGGATGATTGATACCAATACTAGTTTCCTGGTCTTGTCTCAGCCTTCCTTGATTCGAGTACAGATCCTCTGCTTTCAGTAGTACGGGCCCATACTACCTTCCACATCCATCTGTACTTTCCTCAAGAACTTCCTTGACTCCACCAAATCCCTTCTACTACTATTGATCTATGCTACTCTCATCCTAGGCTTGCCATAGGAAAATCTCTGACTCCATTCAACCCAGGCCTCAGCTGCTGAAGGCTTCCTTGTAATACTAATTATTCATCACCTGAATACCATCACATGTGATGAGGCTCAGATAATCCTTTGAGTAAAAGACTCGTCCCTACAACGGTTAGACTCAAACAAGAGCTGCGCAATAGGGCCAAATCCAACACTCTGAGATTATTCAACACTGATCACATGTGATGTGATGTATTCACCTAATAGCTAACTCCCATCACTCAGAGTCCCACAAAGCACAAAGCAAGCAGCTTTCGGATACAGGAAACTACTCAAGCAAATCTATTCTCATAACGAGATACTATACTAGCATACAATGCTAAGCTCATACTATCAGGCATAACCTAAACAAGCTATCGTACTATTGTCTACTCAATACTAGCATGCAAATCTTGTAAAGCTGAAACACATATAGCAAGCACATAAGGCATCCTCCTAGATCCTTAGTCCTATTCTAGCATGTTGTTCTACTGAAACTAAAACTGGCAATCACAACATAACTTGTATGGGTAATTTAAGAGTACTTACTGGAGCTCGGTTGATCGCATACGCCACACCATTTTCCTTTTATAAAAACCCTTCTTCTTTCTCAATTCTTTTTTTTTTCAAAAACCACTTTCAAAGACATTTTGCTTTTGAAAATCTTTACCGTTTCCTTAGTTTGAGTTCAGACACACCCGAAAGTGTATCCGAATCCCTCAAACCAAGGCTCTGATACCAACTTGTAACATCCCAAAATACGACCCAAAAATTTTTGTTTAATAATTACTAAAAACACCATGATAATATCATAAGGTAAAACTCGTACGTCAATATCTCAAAAACAATAGCAATGTGTTATGAGTAAACTGTATCAAGACTGTATCAAATCACATCTATGAAAAAAAACTAAAAACAACTCCCAGGACAACTGAAGTTGTGGTGTGTGCGATGCCATCAACCCGAGCTCTTCCCTTTGCTTGCGGAAGTACCTGAAACCAAAACTGAAACTATAAGCACGAAGCTTAGTGAGCTCCCCCAAACTACCACATACCATACAATACATATAAACACATACTGGGCCTTGCCCACTGCATCAGACCGAAGTCCGGAACTAACCAGGGTCTCGCCCTCTGCATCGGACCGAAGTCCGGAACTACTGAGGCCTTGCCTCCTGCATCGGACCGAAATCCGGAACTAACTGCATCGGACCGAAGTTTGGAACTAACTGCATCGGACCGAAGTCCGGAACTGACTGCATCGGACAGATGTCCGGAACTACTGAACATAGCATAGCATAAACATATCAACTAGCATGAACACATAAACTGCATACTGCATTGGGCTGTAACCCGGAACACATAACACATAAATCCTGTCTGAGCCACGAAGACATCAAACATACTAAAATCTGCATCGGACCGAAGTCCCGAAACTACTACTAGCTAAACGGGCCGACATTGTGGCCTTAGACCAATTCCTACTGGAAGGAAACTCACCTCGTGATTTGGCTGCTGAGTGTATGGCTCTGGAAGCTATCTGTTGCTACTCCAGTATCTCCCCGGCTACAATTCCACAAATACACTCAATCAAATTTTAAGTTGATGCATATAACTCAAAGAATTTGTCATTTTATAACTAATTGAAACATAGAAAAGATTCTTACGTGCTAATCTTTGTGATGCATTTTCATGAATGGCCTTGCTAAGCAGCTTTGCATAAGAATGTTTCTTGAAGTATCAAGTGTTGCTCATGTTATAGAGGTGAATGATAGGATAAAACCTCTACAAATCAAGCATGGAACTTCAATGGAATGAACATGCTTAGAAAGGGAACAAAAGAGTAAATGAATTTTTAGCAAGGGATTTAACCACTTTAATGAGAAAAGATTGCATATTGGAAGCCATTGTTGCATTAATAACTGATAACTATCCTCAAGAAAGCATCCATCACACATTCGAACCAGGTGATGCTATTGGTCATGTAAGAATCTTTTCCACCTCTGTCAAGCTCTGAAACAATTTTTAAACATTTGAAAATCTCAAAATGGTTAAAAAAAAGTCAAAGACCTCATATGTTTATAAAATATGAACCTCGCAGTGATCAAGGATTAAGGATTTGAGCATGGGGCATCCACTGCCATCGCTAAAAACTTCACCGATTGAATTGGTCAAAGACTCACAGTTTGTGAGGTCAACTTCTTTTAAACGTTGGCATTACAGCTCTAAGGAAGTCAAGCTTTCTTGTTTTTGTAAAACTAGTTTCTGCATACAAATAACAAAAATTAACGCAATTACAATAACATTATATAAAAAACTAGAAATCCAAAAGGCAATGCACTTTGCATCAAAATTCCAACAGCAATAGTACAGATACTACTAAAGTGATAACTAAATCAATTTAAATTCAATAAAAAATAGCAACATTGAGTTTCAAGAAACAAACAATGACGTATGTACGTGTGTGTGTGTATTTTAGTCCCTTCCAATCTGTTTGAAGTAAGCTTTACCTGCATTTGTAAGTCGGTCTTGCAATAATGCCTACTCAATTCTGCATATATCTTTTACCCCCTTCCATGGAGCTTCACCATTCTCAGAGTTACCCGGAACCAACAACATTCTACTTTAATTTCCATTTCATATTTTTTTTTGCTGTGACAGCCAAGTTTAGAATCTGAATTATGTCACCCAAGGCAGTATCTTTTAAGCATGTATTCTTTATAATACTTGCAACATCATATCTATTTATTTGCAAAACAACAACTTGTTAGATGCCTTTCTTATATCATTCTAGTTCCATTTCTTCATATTATTTATTATTTACAAAAAAAACATAAGCATAATAGCAGTAGAAAATTAGACATCACCTGCACTGAGAAGCTGCAATTGCAGCATACTTTTATTTATTCTTCAATCCAAAATTTAGTAACGGTTCGGCTTGGTACATATTCTTCTACCAAATAAGCAATTTCACTATATCTACACAGTTTATATTATTTATCTCGCCTTCTTGCTCCATATTCTTCTGCTAAATCAGCCAAAGTCAAATTAAGAAAAAAAAACTTTCATCAGGAAGAACAACAGATGAAAGCACATATTGTGGCCACGTTTCCATTCCCACTAGACGTCCCACCAGCAACACCATTGACATCTGCCGTTTCATCTTCCTGGTTGTTTTTTCATAGAGATTCATTTATTAACATAATACATGCATGAAGAAGACAAAATATTCTTCTATAACTCGTAGCTACATAAACTCCAGATTTTCAAATCCAGTCAAAGCGTACTGAAAAACCGCACTTTAGGTGCATGATTATTCTTCTGAGATTGGCATAGAATGTTTAGCAGCATTCTCTACTTCTGCTTTAGAAACCTCTTGTGGTAATCCATAAGCAACAACACCAACACATCTTATTTATTTATTTCATATCTCAATAACATTGATAATTTAGTTTCAGGGAGATTTTGTAGATGTTGGTTGGTGTCAGGGAAATAAATAATAAGCATTCCAATAGTAAGTAAATGTAACACATTGCTAATATTGTATAATATTTATTATAGAAACAAAACATGTACAACATTTAAAGAAACCCATGACTAAATTCTCATTTGACATCTCCTTTGACAACTTCCTTTCTAAGAGCATAACCTGAATGTGTGCAGAAACTTTGAGAGGCAGCAGAGCATGGAAGGAACAGTTGCTAGAGATGACGAACTTGCATAGGGCAAATCAGTAACTTGACATGAAATACAATACAAGATGACATGAAAGAGAGAAGAGAAAAGTCAATACATACCTGAAAGTTTGCACCTTCAAAAATCGGATCAAGGGTACTAAGTTCAACCAGCCAATCAATGAATAACTTGAAATACAGTCTCGGGTTGAATGATGATTTCTTCTCGTCTGGATCCTTTTGAATGAATCTCACAGTCACTGCTAACACCTATTGCAAAAAATGTCAAATAATATATTGTCCAACATATACAACTAATCACAAGTCTGGATTGTAATTCATGATTCAAACCTTTGACAGAAGAGATACCTTGCTTACTCCATGGTCAACAGAGAACTAGCCATACAAATAAGAAGCAATTATGTTGATGAAAAGCATATATATATATATATATATATATATATATATATATATACATATATATATATATATATATATTACAACATTGTACTTATAATTGAGTGAATTTTCATATTATAATAAGAAGAAATAAAAGTGTAATGCTATAATGAACAATAAAAAGGGAAGTGTGTTGCTATTTGGCATTACCTGATTGGGTGAATTGTTCTTGCAAAGAATTTGAATGGAAAATATAGAATGTTGCATTCAGGAAGTGGTGCAAGGGATGAGTTTCTAGTTCAAAGTGACAAGTCTTCTAAAGCACTTCAGTTTCCTCAACAACTCTTGGTTTACAACAGATCAACTGTGAATGCAGAGGTGCTTTAATGGTCACCATTGGGACAAGATTGATGAAAAGACACTAATAAAATACTTACGTCTTAAGCTCTATATCTGGATCCATGTGAGGCTGAATGCATATATTACATTTCTAGATTGAAGCTCAGGAACACTAGATGAAAGGTTGCCAAAAAGCTACTCCATCACTTGTCATATGAACCGGACAATCGATTATATCTGCTCCATCACTTGTTATATGTTGAATCACTGCACCCTGGAAACTCCCCAGTTGCTCCTTCAAATGAGATAATTAAAGGCTGTCCTTTTCCAAAAGCAACAAGGGATTTAATTTATGATTTATGATGAACATATATAAATGTCAAATGATTGTCTATAAAATGACACACCTGGCTGAGAATGTTTTTTCCCAATATGAGAAAAACAACCAGCATGGTTGTAGAAATAATGGCTTATGAAAATAGAATGTTATTTCTTGCATTCAACCTTTTTCAATATATGCAAAATCATATCATGAGATTTAAAGGGTTCAAAACTTACTAAAAGCTACTGATGGAGTCACTGGATTATCGAAAAGAACACCATCCATAGAGAATCTGCCATTATCCACAACATACAGATAGTCTTCTACATGGTCATAACTGTAATTATATGCAAGTTGCACATCATTCATGAAATCTGAACAAAATACTTGTAAATCCTCTTTGTGGGCATCCAAGATCAATGAGGTAGATGGTTGTAAATAGAAGTCATTATCCACAGGCCATATGTATGATTTAGGAACTAAAACACCAGAAGCAAATGTATAGATAAATGTCAGATTTTTTAAAAGTGAGCCATATGTTTGATTGGTTGGGGGCTCAGTCTTGCTCATTTCTAGAAATCTGAAAATTAGTTTTTCTAGTCACACACATGTGCTTAGTTTACTTACTTTCATGTGCTTTGTTTAACTTTAACAGTATGTATGTATGTGTGTGTGTGTGTGTGTGTGTATATATATATATATATATATATATATCACAAACAATAAAAGTTCTCTCACCAAGTTCATATGCTTTGGCTGCCACCCTGGCAGCAATATGAGCGGAAATCTTACGGATGTTGGTGAACGTAGGGTATATCAGTCCATTGTCAAAATGCTCCTGTGTAACCTGTTCCGCTAGTGCCTCAGTTGTTTGTTTTACAACAAAACATAACATACCCTTTTTTTAGTAAATGAATAAAATATCCTTTCATATACACAGTAATTACAATTTACATACACACAATTGTAGTGTTCAGAAAAATAAATATTTTATGAAAATAAAATATTTACAGCCTTACTTACAGAAACACTAAAGAAGCATCCGGGTCTGAATCTTATGGCATATATTTCGCAATGATGAACATCTATCAATCAACGCATCTAAAGCTTCTTGACATTCCACCCCATCTGCCTCTAAACTTCTGAATACCTCCAATGGGGTCTGAACCACATCACAACTTACATGATCCCATGCATCAAATATATTTCCATCTTCATCAGTTTCATGAATTACCATAACATCACCTCCATAACATTCAAATTCTTTGAGAATATCTTCTTTCAATCGAGCTTTCATTATCTCCACTCTATCACAGTCAATTCCCTACATTAAACCACTTGACACTTGAGTATATGTAAATAATAAACATTAAAAATGAGAGAGAATTATTATTATATACCGTATACTCGAGCATGTTTTTGTAGGGTCTTTCAACCTCACGAAGCACAAAGGGATTTCCATTAATGTAAATAACAAGTTCTTCTCTCTTGGGCAAATTCGGTTGTTGACAGCCTGGACAATGATCACTTTTTAAAACAGTTTGAATGTTTTGATGTTTTTACTGTGTATACATATATACATAGTAAGATATCCTTTTAGTAAATGATATCTTCAAAATCATATATTAATAGAGGACATAATGGAGAAAAATAGAAAAATAAACATCATTCAAATCACAACACCATTTACTAAGGTGACTTAAAGGTGAGAACCAAAAAAAAGGGTACTGGTGTTAATGTATCTCAAGAAAATAAGGTTAAAAGTGGAAGAGTTTTGGAAATATTTGGGTTCTTGTGTGCAGAAGCATCTGTTTTGCGTGTTTGAAAGAACGGTGGAAGAAGCGGAGATGAATGAAGAAACATTTGTTGTGAGGCTACTTGTAGTTTCTACTCAAGAGGGTTGCCTTTTGGGAAAAGCTGGTGGTGTAATCAAGCAAATGGCTTCTGAAAGCAAGGAACAAATAAGGATTCTTCCAAGTGATAATGTAGAAATGTCTTTTGAAATGTATTTTGAAAGCAAGAGATAATCAAGCAAATGTCTTCTGAAAGCAGGGAACAAATAAGGATTCTTCCAAGAGATAATGCGCAATTGTAGAAATGTCTTTTGAAAGTTTTGCGAATAATAGCAATATTTGTGAGCAACATCCACATCATCCAAATGGACTAGCAGGGCATCATGAGGGAGGGCGTTTTGGTCCTTTCACAGACATGCTAACGTACCGTTTGATATTCTCTAATGAGAAGGTGGTGGATGACTGCATCATTGTCATATCTGGACCAGCGGTACCCAATTATATATATATATATATATATATATATATATATATATATATATATATATATATATATATATATATACCATTCTAGTTTGAAAATTTCAATTGAAAACTTTATGTTTATTATATCAAGTATCAACTTACATTGAAGAAATGGATATTTAGGGCTACACTTGAGACCAAGCCAGTGACAACAAAAGTCATTGTGTCTGTACATCAGATTGGATGTATCCTTGCAAAGGATGGTAGTTATAACTGAAATGAGAATCTCAAATGGTGCTTTTATTCGTATTTTACGAATAGATCAAAGTCCACAATATGCTGCTGAAAATGAAGAAGTAGTGCAGGCATGTTATTGTTATTTCTCTCTATCTCTCTCTCTTGGTGACAAGTAGAAATGAACGTAGAGAAAATAACAAAGCTTGGTTGGATACATGTGCAAATATAAGATAATGTGAGCAATTTGGTTAATATTCTATGTATCAACAACTTGATACTGGTACTTTTCCTTGTCATGTCCCAATATAGTCTTATGTTAAACATGATTTTCTCTTTGTATGTTTTGGATTAAAATTATTTTGTTCAAAAATAAAAACAGTAGGTCCGTACTCTCAAACGAAACCTTATCTGTAGTTCAAGTTTTTTTTTAACAGCTCCTAAAAACTTTAAAAAAACTCTAAAAACATGGTTACCAATACACCCATTTATTATTTTAATAACTAAAGATGAAACTTCACTTCGTAATATGCTAGTTTGGGTACACTTAATATTTTAGTAGTTTGTTATCAATCGTGTCAAACTTATTCATTTGCATCTTGTGATTGATGATGAGACCAAAATTAAGTCCTGATACATGAATTTATGTCTGAGAGCGATAGCTAAATATGTGAAAAAACAATCATACAATGGTTAATAAGATCTAAATGCCTAATCATAACCTCCCCCCACAGGTCCCAGCCTATTATGTTGTCTTGATAACAACTTTTAGTGTGCAAGACTGGGCCATTTTTACTTTTGAGGGGAAAGTTATACGATTTACAAACTTAAAACTAATATGTTTTAGTGTGGTGACAAAGTACTACATGCCAATATGTTTCATTGTTTGCAAGTAAATTGATTATGTTCCAAATCTTTCAGTTTTTGAACCCTAGATGTAGATGTTGATCCAAACCACTTCTTTTTTTTTTTTTAAAAAGAGTTTAAATGTTTTATGTGGATCAATTAAATAGCCAGTTCTTACCACTTCCAGAAGGAACTTCTCATATACAACGACCCCTAAAGAATCTTAGGCTGAATCTAACACCCTGACAGCATGGAGGTGGTATAGCACATGCATTACAATCTCATGCCCCTGGTTAAGGTGTAATCATGAAAATGGGTATTAAAACACAAAAAAAGGGTTTGAAGTTAGTTATATAATGATATTTTGAAAAGAATACTACATATATATATATATATATATATATATATATATATATATATATATATACCTTCTGATGTTGGTAGTCTGAGCTAATATGCCTTTGCATCATTAAAATTCCATCATCATCAACATCAACCTGCAGGCCGCACAACAAATGCAGAACTGCTCTTTTTCAATAAAATTTAGCTTTCACCCTTTGTATTGAAAGAAATGTGATCAAAGATATTGATTTAGATAACAAGAAAGAAATTCATTCTGCCTTATGATGTAGCCAACATGTCACAAAAGTAATTTCACGTTATCATTGTTTTCTCTATTAATCAGAGTCGATTCTATTCCTTTCCCCAACATATCAAGTAATAGTCGCGCTTGCATATCCAGCACCATTGCTCTCACCTATTGAGCATTTGTTCCTTCTAATAGCCTGCATTTTATCCTGTATAATGCCTGCACTTTTTTTATTTTTTAATTAAATTCAACAAAAAAAGACTCATCCATAAATTAGAGAAATACCTTAAACAAACATACAAGCCCATATTGTTGTCTGTGCTGAGTGGAAGGAAGCGAATGCAAAATCCGCATCCAGAACCGCAATCACATTGTTTAGTGAAACTGAGTAACAACATAACAACCATAACATCAACACATGTTCTTGAAATGACAAAATTGTCCATCATTAGCTAATTTTTTAGGCCTAAAGTTTTTTTGGATTACAAACATTGCTAATTCATATTATTATCAATTCCATCCTTAGTAGTAGTTTGTGTATAGCCAACAGCATGCCACCAACCAACTCCAACCATAAGACTCCACCAAAATCTGGGATGTATTGATACAAAATGCCATGTCAGCATTTCTTATAGCTTCAAATGTCACAAGTTCTGTAGAAATTAAATTAGAATACCTTTCTACAATTGCGCATTCCCATGTTGAGGAGTTTGCTTTCACTTGATTGCTAGGAACAGCAGGGGGAAGAACACGAATAATCTTCAACATAGTATAATCCTTGGCTGTATCATGCCAAGCAGTAGTAGAGCAGCAACTTGTAGAAGAAAATACAGGAGAAGAAATTGCAGAAAAAACATTGATCTGATAGTTATCAACATGTGTAAAACTAGAACCAGAAAAAATATTGACGCCACCTCTTAGAAACGCAACACCAACATCACCACCATGAGCAGAATACACTATGCGATCAAGGGTTCTTACATCACTTGGCAAATCAAAAGGATCAAAAACAACCCTTTTTGCCTTCTCTATGTCAGATTCTGACATGTTTATACCCTCAGAAGTCGATGACCAAAGCATTTAGGTATCTAATTTAATGGTGTCGGACTATCGGTAGGATTAGCGGAAGGATGCTGTGTCAGGAGTTTGACATTATGGGTGTAACAGCCCGGAAATTCAGGTATTGTTATTATATTGTTTGGGGTGTTTTAGGAGGGGACTCGGCGAGTTGGAGCCAGACTCGCCGAGTAGGACCACAGATTTGGTCGCGGATTCACGACTGGACTCGACGAGTCCAGATATGGACTCGGCGAGTCTACGCTGTTCAGCAGAAACCCTAGCCGTTTGGTTTTGGAACGTATATAACGCACTATATGCCGTCATTGTCCGTCTTTTAGCCGACTGAGAAGAACCCTAGCGGCTGTGGACATCTAGAGCAAGATTGGAGGCTATTGGAACCTTGAAGAAATTGTTGGGCAAGAAGGAGAGGAGTTTTGGCTGAAGGAACAGCAAGGGATTCGAGTTTTGAGGTTTGGGGACACAGAGAGTGCGTTCTTCAGGTAATACTTCGGATCATTTCTGTTATATTGATGTGTGCACGGATTTAGGGTTTATGAAACCCATTTGGTGATTAGATGGATTATTACCTTGTTACCCAAACGATTATAACCTTGTATTAGGATGTTTAGAGGTCCAAAAGGTCCCATGCTTGTGTATTTCGGGACAATATGTATTTCAGGAAGCAGTTTGATCGACTGCATGGCATAGACTCGCCGAGTCCAATGAACAGACTCGGCGAGTAGCTTGAAGATTGACTGGGACTCGTCGAGCTGTTCTTCAGACTCGACGAGTGGAGTCGGGGTGGCCCTGCGATTCTTCCACGAGGATCTCGTCGAGCCAAGAGGGATACTCGACGAGTAGAAAGGGAACATCAGGGAAAGTTGGGGAGGACGTCTAGACTCGCTGAGT